AAATAAGAAGTTGAGATTATTTTCCGGAAGTTTAAAGCAAAAGTGGAGAATGAAAGCGGCTACAAAATTTAGATTTTAAGGTCCGATAATGGCAAGGAGTATACTTTTGGACAATTCAATCTATTTTGTGAGGAAGAAGGAATTGAACGTCAACTTACAGCCCCTTACACTCTAAAACAAAATGGAGTTAGTGAGAGGTGAAACGAGTTTATCATGGAGATGGCAAGATGCATGTTGCACAAAAAAAATTTACCAAAAAAGTTTTGAGTGTAAGCGACGAAACACAGTAGTGTTTTTGCGTAATAAACTTCCCACAAAGGTTATAAAGAACAAAACTCCTTTTGAAGCTTGGTATGAGTACAAACCTTTAATAAACTTTCTTAAAGTTTTTGGTTGTCTTTGTTTTACCTATGTTCCACAAGTTAAACGAGATAAACTAGATAAAAAGGATGCTCAAAGCATTTTCATTGGATATTGTACAGCTTTCAAAGGCTTATAAAGTCTTTCAACCGAAACCGAGACTATAACTATCAGCAGAGATGTGCACTTCATGGAAAATGAAGAATGGGAATGGAAAGACTCAAAGGTTTTCACACCAAAAACAAGCTCATTGCTAGATGAAAAAGAGGATGACCCATCTGTTAGAGGCACTTGATTGCTCTCCGACATATACCAAAGATGCAATGTTGTAATATGCGAACTCCGTCGACCATGAAGAAGCTCTCCAAGACTCGAAATGGAAGAGTGCAATGAAGGAGGAGCCGTTTATGATTGAAAAGAACAAAACTTGGGAGCTTGTTGATAAACCTCAAGGCAAAAAGGTAATTGGGGTAAAATGGGTGTTTAGAACCAAGTTACATGCCGATGGTTCAATTAATAAGCATAAAGTGAGGCTTGTAGTCAAGGGATATGCATAGATTTTTGGTGTTGATTATTTCGACACATTTGCACCAAGTGCTAGGCTTGACACAATCAGAGTTACTTCTTGCTATTTCCGCACAACTTGGCTGGAAAGTGTATCGATGGATGTTAAATCAGCGTTCCTAAATGGAATTCTTGAAGAAGAAATCTATGTTGAGTAACCCGAAGGTTTTGTGGTGAAAGGAAAAGAAGACAAAGTCTATAAACTACATAAAACTCTTTATGGCCTAAAACGGACCTCAAGAGCTTGGTATAGTCGAATAGATGATTATTTGCTAGACCTTAGTTTTAATAAAAGTTTCTCGTAATCCACACTTTATGTTAATCACAAAAGCAATGAGATTCTTGTTGTTTCTCTATACGTGGATGACATTTTGATTACGAGGAGCGAGTGTAAAGCTTATCGATGAGTTCAAGGTAGATATGAAGCAAGCTTTTGAAATGTCCGATCTTGGTCTAATGACTTTTTTCCTTGGAATGGAGATTAAGAAAGGAAAAGATGAGGTTTTCATTTGCTAGAAGATGTATACAAAGGAGATTCTCAAGAAATTCAAAATGGAAGATTGCAAAGAGATGGATACTCTCATGAACCAAAAAGAGAAGCTAAGCAAAGAAGATGGAGCTGAAAAAGTGGAAGAAACATATTACGAAGTCTTATCGGGTGTTTGATGTATCTCACCGTAACAAGGCTTCGACGTGTTGTATGCTCGTAAGTGTTCTATCAAGGTTCATGAATTGTCCCAATGAAGTTCATCTAAAGGCAGCCAAAAGAGTTATACGGTACATTAAAGGAACCATCGACTATGGAGTCAAGTTTCGGAAGAGTCAAAATATAAAGCTCGGTTGGGTATTCGACAACGATTGGGGTGGTTCCTTGGATGATATGAAAACTACTTCGGGGTAGTGTTTTAGCCTTGGCTCGAGAGTTTTCTCATGGTGTTCAAAGAAACAAGATATCGTGGCTCAATCTACCGTGTAGGTCGAGTTCGTGGCAGCCACGACGCGTAATAAATCAAGCATCGTGGCTAAGGAAAATTTTGACTCGATCCGCATATGGAACGTACCAAAGGCATCGAAGTGTTTGTGGACAACCAAGTCGTAATAGCAATTTCTCACAATCCCGTGTTTCATGGGAAAACTAAGCACTTTAATATCAAGCTTTTCTTCTGAGAGAAGTGTAAAAAGATGGAAATATAAGTCTTATCTATTGCAAGACGGAAGAGCAACTTAGCTAATATATTCACAAAGTCGGTATCGACCAAGAAATTCAATTTTCTCAAAGAAAAACTTGGAGTTTGCAGTTCCTAAAGCAAGGAGGAGTGTTAAAACTATGCTTTTGGAGTATTGCACGTGTCTTTATTTTGTTTGATACCGAATTAGTCTTAGTCAATAATCTGTTCCTATTCCATAGGAATTAGTTAGTCAAAGTTGAGTACTTTGTAGATCACGTATTTATTTCCTAAGTTTTAGCATTCTTTCATTCTAAGCTCTATAAATGTAAGCTCCGTGAGTCAATAAAAAACAACTTCTCTTGCAACATTTGTCAGTAGCCATATTCAGCTTATTCTTCCCTTCTACTTTTAATTAACCAACACTAAGCCTCTAACAAGAGACCACCACTCGTCCCTATTGTCACTCCAAGCTTTGAAACCCATTGTCCCAATAACCATTTTTCTTCAAGCAATCGAAACCTACCGAGCTCCTCTCCCCAACAAAAACCCTTAACTCTTAACAACCTTCCCTCGCACTTTCCTTCTTTTGCCACACATCGAACCTTTTAAACTCTAACTCTTTTTCCCACTTTTCACATATAACGTAACACGAGAACATTATGAAGGAATTTACTTTAGAGCATTGGTCATTAATAAATTAAACCGATCTTAGCTAAGATTGTGCCATGGTGCTTCGCACAACAAATGATGGATATCAAACTAGGTTAAGATGTCTAGGATACATTAGATAGTTTGGATTAAGGTGCATGAATGACTTTGAGAAAACTATTAATGGGGCAAACACTCGTTGGATGAAAAAGCTACAACTCTAAAAGACCACGAGGATGTTGTAGTTGATATAATCGCATGTATAAAAAATAATTAATTTCTAATTTCAATTCTAAAAAATTCCTATAGGATTAGGAATTTTAAGGATTTAAATTGGCTTTGTGTTTTGGAGATTTTTTAGAACCGAAATCAATAATCAATTAAAAGTAAAAGACACAGGTTTCAAATTGTGAAGAATTTTAATTTTTAGCCACGTATAATCTTAGGTAGATTTTAATTTATATTGTCATTGTATATGTCCTATCACGTAAGGTGGAATTGAAAGTTTGAACGAAAAAAGTCCTTCCATGTTAATATGGTTATCGAAAATATAGTTTATATATTTTAAATCTATTCTTTTTTAAAAAAAGTATCAAAATAATTAAAAATAATTAATTTTGTGATTTTGTTATACCATAAACCTTTTTAGAATATTGTAGGCAAAAGTTAAAGAAACCAATCTCGATAGTCAAATAATTGGCATCTAAGGGAAATTGATATTTGCAATGAAAATAATTAATCTATGCTAAAGCAATGGGTGCCAAAATGTTCCAAGCTACTCAAATCAGCTTGCAAAAGTTAGTCCTAGTTTCCACTAATAACATTTTGTTCTTGTTTCTCATTTTTCTATTGTAATACGTGTATTTAATCCTACCGAATGAAAGTTTTTCTTAACACATTTTCTCAAGCAAATTAAATTGCACGACTACTTCAAAAAATGCACATCGGACGATACAATAATTGGACCAAACTGTCCGGACGTAAAAGCAACTTCAAGTAACAAGCAAAAGTTCCACTATTACCATCATCACGTAAACAAATTAACAAGTGTTGGGTATAAAAAAAGACTTACCCGAGCTCAAATGAAGCATTTACAGGAACCATACAAAATATCCGTAGTTTTTATTCATAAGCAACGACAAGGATAAACTTTTGTAGTTTGGCTTCTACAAGGATACAAACCGATCAAGGATCGGCTATATGTAGATTACAGCAGTTGCTAACATAGCATCTATCGATCAACTAAGTTGGAATCAACAACCATAAATTTGAATCAAGAGTGACTTCAGCTTTTGATTGGCAATTGTCAAAATTATTAAATTGAAATAAGATCTACCACTTGCTTTACATGTAAATGGAAGCCTCTATTCACAACTTTTGTTTCAATCAGCTTTTTAAGTTTGTAGAGACCGATGCGGATGGGATTCGTAGTATAGGACGTTATGTATATGACGATCTATAGAATATTGGACTAGATATATAGACCTATTAGGTCTTTTTTATTATAACCCTAGTTATCCACACTATAAATAGAGAAAGCATCTTTTGTATTTATAAGCCGCCACTTAAGAACCGTAATAAGAATTCCTAGTGCATTCGTAATGTAAAATTTTTGTATTGTGTGATTGTTTTTATCTTTCTACTTTATTTTCTTGCAGAATTCGTTTCCTAACACAGCTATTGTGCTGTTTCAGGGTTTCTATGTGATTCAGTATTTCAAGTAATGAATCAGACCTTCAGTTTCCATTAATATATTCATCTGCAGCTCACAAGGTTTCACACCCACTTTTCTGATACTGATTTCAAAGGAGGAAATAGAGTCGAATGCATGGAAAACATAATTTGGAAACCATTCTGAAACCATTTGTTTCCACCAATCTGCTGGAAAGGTAGAATCAAATGTATGAAAAATACCATGGCTATTTAATAACAACAATTTAAAAACCATTGTAACCAACAAGATAGAAGAACGAAGATGAAGAAGATACATTAATTCTCCAATTCAATTGCAGTTTACATAATAGTAAACTATGCAATCTCTGTATACCATGAGTTTATAAGATCCTTGGTACCAAGTAAAATTATAGTCATAATGTGAGGAAAAAGAAAAAAGTTTAAACATCGAATCCAAATCCATCCTGTTAACTCTAATAGAGCGAATGATCTTCGAAGATTACCTTGAAGGGTTTCTTCTTAATTGCGCACTTGATTTCTTGATAGACTCTATCCTTTGAAGCCTGATCTGCTCTCTGAATTTGGCTATGAATTCATCAGCCTTCTTGTCAACATCAGGTCCGCCGTCATTTGCACTGCTAGCAGCCGCTGCTTCTTTTTTGGACTTGCAGCCATGCCTGAAGCAAAAGAACTTCCTGCAATGTCATCCTCCTCCTCCTCCTCAGTTTCTGATTCCTCATCAGATTCCATGACCAATTTCTCGACAAATTCTTCGTTCTCTTCCTCTTGAAACTCCATGAAAGTTGGCTGAGGCGTAAAAGTCACGTTTTCATGGTTCTGCCTCTCAGTCTTGAATGACGATTGATCAAATCCCACTGTCTTTCTTCCTATTCTCCCCATTGCACTGGCTTCAACTTCCTTTAATCTTTTCTCTGATTTGCTGTTGATTCTATCATCGAATTCTTTCTCCTTCCTCGCCTCACCAAGAAAATTGTAGCTTCTAATTGTCTTAACTGACTTTGGCATTGATAAGATGCCACCCCTACTAAAACCTTCCAGTTCGGTTGTGAAACTTCGCTTCAGTTCTCTTTCAAGAGCAGCCTCATCATGATTAGCACTAGAAATTGGTTTCATTGATGATGATTTTCGATTCATTGGTGGTGGCGGGGGTGGTGGTGGTGGAGGAGCAGGAGGAGACCTATAAATGCTCTTCTTCCTCACAAAATCCTCCACACTTTTGCCTTGCACTTCAGTTGAGAAAGATGGTGAAGGAGAAAACTTCTTCGGTGAAGGAAATGAAGGTGGAGGGGACAGTTTCGGAGAAGAAGTTGCAGAACTGGATCGTGCTGATCGAGGAACCTGGGACTTAAAATACCTGTTGTATTCAGATTCCTCCAAGGGAGGAGGGAGATTATAAAGAGGAGGGCTATCTGCTTCTTCTTTCATTTCCATTCTCCCTGATCTTGATCTCCATGGAATTGGTGAAGGAAGCACAACATTCTCCTGCAGCTTTTCTTCCGATTCATGATAATCTGAGCCTCCAAACTCTCCACTCTTATTTTTACTTGAATTGCTTGAAAATCTTTTAGAACCTGAATTAGAATTAGACCTACAAATAGAAGCAGATCCACCAGTAGATTCTTTACCAGTTTCACCAGCATCTGCGTCTATGACTCGCGATTTTAAGCTCCTAACAGGCAACAAGAGTGGTTTTTCACCAATTCCTGAGCTAGTAGCTCTCTGTTCATTAGCAAGAGCAGAGTTCTGCTCAGCCACAACTACTACAGGATCATTCCTGTAATATTGGTTACTCCATGTTTGGACCATGGTCTCTTCAGACTTAGGTGGGCTATCAACCTCATCATCGAAAACCGATGAAACCTGAAGGAATCTAGACACATATGATTGAGCATTATCAAATTTCAAGTGGTTGCTGTGGTTGTTAATTTCCTTTTCTGTTTCATCATTTCGCCTGCTAAACAGGCCATAAGAGACAGCTATACCAACAAAGACAAGGTGGAGAAACTCCCAACCTCTAGTGTTTAAAGTTTGGTTGATGAATTCGGGGGCTTGTGAAGGAAAAAGTGGGATTATAATTAAAAAGAGAGTGACTATGAGAGCTTTGTAGAGGAAATGATTATAATACTTGGTTGGATTTGGTTGGTTTTGCTGTTGGTATTTGGTGTAGTAGTTTGCATCTGCCATTGTTGAAGAAGAGAAAGAGAAAGAGAAAGAGAAAGAGCAAGAGCAAGAGAGGATCTTTTGGTGATTGTTTGTTGGTGTTAATTAAAAGAGAATATGAAGAGGAAGAGGAGGAAGAAGGGAAGACTTAGGGGTGAAGGAAAAGTGAAGAACCATGAAGAAAAAAATAAAAAAATAACAAAAAGCAAGAGATGGAGAGAGACAGTGGAGAGGAAAGTTTTGGGGAGGAGTGAGCAAATTTCAAGCTTTTTACGTTGGATTGCTTTTAACGGTTCTTTGCAAATGATAAAGCAATGAGGCTATGACTCTTGCTTTATTCTCTGTCTTGATCCTATTTTTATTTTCAGGGGTTAGCATTTTGTTGACTCATCACTGTGCATCTTATAGTCTGATGCCTTACTTTTCCGGTTTTCATCCTTTGCTTTTCTGGGGATAGTAGCTGTGAACAACCTTAGACAAATCTTATGTGGGTTAAATGCCTTGGAGGTCTCGAGTTGGGATTGGAACCAATCTTATTTTGGAAAGATAAAGGGAATGTTTGGTCTGTGCAGCCAGATGTTCTACACACTTTAACGAAGACAAATTGGATCTATCATTGAAGTCTGAAGAATAGCATCTAGTATGAGTTGGAGTTGTTTTTATCAAGCCACCGAATCAAAGTAATTCTATACGTATGATAAATCTCACCAATTCAATACCAATGTTGTAGGTCAGAATTGCACTATTGTGAAGAGAAATATAGGCACTAAGACTTGGTGCATGGTTGGAGGGGAAGCATGTGATTAGGAAATTGCTGTATATGCTGCACCCAATAACACTCTTGTTGAGGTTATGGGGTTGTTACCAAATGGTCCCAAGTTCTCGTTGAAGGGCAACTATAATATGGCTATGGGTTCAATACGGATAAATTTTTGAAAATTCTATATTTCAAGCATGATTGATCATGCTCGTGCTCTCTAAAGAAATACAATCGCACCACTTATTTGGAAATTATGTTGCTAGTATTACCTTTGTTTTGTGCTTTGTTATGCGAAGTAACGAGCAACTTCGTCTTTTCAGAAAGACAAATTGGTTGTTAAGACTTGAACGAGTACCAGGATTAACGTAAGACCGGTTGTATATCCAAACAAGGGCATGAAATCAAATGGGGTTCAAGTAGCGACCACAACCTTAAAATAGGTGAAGAGACAACAAGCATTAGACAGAATTGAAACGGTATAAAAGTAGGTAAAAGTTCACAAATGGATGTAGAGCAATGCATTGGACAGTACATAGGATTAGTTTCATCTGAATAAACAAATCAATGGGTACTTTTGTATCATTTGCAGTTTTCGTTTTTTATTTGTTAAAAAAAAAAAAAAAAAAGAAGAAGCAGAACTGATAGCTGTTATAATATTTGAAAACTACTTTATTTGGCGTTGAAAAATTATAATAATCTAGTTTCGACTTTTTATGTTTTTGAAAGCAAAAAATAGTTTTTTATTTTACCTGATTTGTTTTAAAAATTTTGAAAATAATTACAGAAAATGATGCCAAACGAACTCTAGATGAAGACTGTTCAAAATATTTTGACATCCTCTACTTTTTAATTGCAGATGTAACTGGTAAGGCACCTACAAGGTAGTTTTATTTATTTATTTTTTTCGAGACAGAAAGGAGCAGCAAGCTAATTAACACATAGAAAAAGATCCAAATTATATTAGAGATTGGTAATGGCAAATTGCAGTCTGCAGAAATCTCATATGCCATCAACGGTAAAGAATCTTCGGTGGGGATATTAAGGGGAACAAGGATAATGTCAGGGGCAAATAGATAGCGTGAATGTGGCTATAAGGATTCTTCTTTTGGGCTGCGTACGCTAGCTTTTCTGTGGAGGCCATAAAATACTTGGTAAAAAATGAAGGGAAAAAAAGAAAGTTGTTTGCAACTTTGGATGGAATACTTTTCTTATCTGTCCTCACCCTCACCGTCTTCAATTTGAAGACGATGATAGATGCTCTTAAGAGCCACGCAGTCACTCGGACGTGCTTAATTTAATAACAACATTCTTTCCATCAATTTGAAAAGAAAAAAGAATGAAAGAAAGAAGATGAAACTAGTCATTTCTGCATCGTCAACTACAATTAGCATATAATTGAAAGGTCAAATAAAATTTCGCATTTATATGACCTTTTTAACTTTATTATGCTTTATTCCGTGACATAAGTTATTTGCTTTTTGACAATGCAACAGCTCGCACTGACCACGAATAATTTATTGCACGATCTTTCTAAACCTGGACTAAAATCCTATACATGTTCTGTATTTATCTTAGAAATGGGTAAAAAACCACTTATATATATATATATATATCAACAAAAGCTGACTAAGAATCTCTCGAAACGAGAGAACAAACTCTGAAAGGCACGTCCCTCCTGAAGCTAAGGAGCAAAATCATGTGTTTTTCCTCAAACAAGACTTAAGCTGATAATATGTGGAGTCCATTTTGCCTCTGGCAAACGATGAAAAGCTGCTGTATGGTTGTTTACCTTACTGTTTGAGTTTTAATTTGTAATTTTGAATGACTTGTGAATATTAACGCTTGTGATCACAGTACAAGGTTCGCAGGATATTCTAATTATTCGGCTAAAGTGATAGTATGATCTCCTTTTGATTTGATACGAAAATACTCTTGGATAGATAAATCTAGCAACATCTTCCTCTTCATTTTTTTTTTCCCTGACAATAATCTAGCGACATCTGAACCCTAGAAGCATCTTCAATCTTTACATTCCAACTTCGAAGAATAGAATAGGGAAAAAAAAAAAAACGGAGGTGAAATCATCAATCTCAAATTAATGGGATAATTCGACCCTTGATTTCTATCAAGGGTAAGAATTAGCATGGTTCATTATGTTAGTAAAATTCAAATAATTGATTGGAATTTCAACGATTAATATTTTATTTTTATGAGTTAATTAACTATTGGAAATCAATGGTTTGAATTTCAAAAACATCATGCAACCTTAGTTTGAGAGTAATTATCTAAAATATACTTTTAGCTTTTTAACAAGGTGCTCTCATTTAAAAAATCATAAAAATCTATCATATAAATTATATCAATATATATATAAAAAAATTAAATACTAATGATTTTAAATTTTATTCAAAAATTCATACATAGAGAAAAATAAATCATGTTTATTAACAAATAAAATTATATAAAAAATTAAAAATAATTTTTTAATAATTTTCATAAGAAATGACAAATCGGACAATCAATTTTAAACAATATGAGTAGTATAACCCAATATATATGTTCATTAAAAAAAGATAAAATAATTATATTCTAAAATATTATTTAAAAATTCAAACATAGAAAAAAAAACATATTTATTAACAAACAAAATTATATTAAAAAATTAAAAAATAATTTTATGATAATTTCCATAAAAAAATAAAAAAATAATTTTAAACAATAAGAGTAATATATTATTTTTTTCTTTTTTTACTAATTATTTTTAAATTTTTATTATTATTTAATTTCGTGAAAAAATTATAGAAAATCAATCATTATTTTTTAAATTTTTTTCACAAAAGCTAATGGCGGTGAATAGACTTACTCAATAGCTACCGGCTAAGAGAGGGAACGGATACGACCTTTCTAGAAATATGCTTTTGCTGATCTAATAGCATATGCCCTCATCGAAGCTAAGACAATGGGTATTTAAGAGCCTTCTACCTATATAGAGGTAGTGATTTATAAATAGTCTACTCAATGAGTCATTATAAGGATAGAAAAAATCGAGGCACTCTATAAAAATCAAACTTGGGATTTGGTGAAATTACCTAAAGGTAATAGAGTCATTGGATACAAATGGGTCTATAAGAAGAAGACAAAAATATTAGGTATTGAAGATGCTAGATCCAAGGCATGATTAGTGGCTAAGGGTTATAGTTAAAATGAGGGAATTGATTATAATGAAGTATTTTCTCTAGTTGTGAAGCATATCACTATTCGTATGTTGTTTGCTATGGTGACTTAATTTGATTTGGAGCTCAAACAACTTGATATGAAAATAGCTTTTCTACACGGAGAGCTTAAGGAGACAATTTATATGTCTCAACCAAAGGGATACTTTGTGGAAAGGAAGGAAGACCATGTTTGCGGATTGAAGAAATCTTTGTATGGTCTAAAACAATCACTCGGACAGATGGTACAAGAGATTTAATAGTTTTATGCTTAATCATAGTTATTTAAGATCTACTTATGATAGTTATGCATATTTCAAATAGTTAGCGAGATGGATCTTTTACGTATCTCTTATTGTATGTGGATGACATATTTATTGTTGCTAAGAACATGTCAAAAATTCGAGTGTCGAAGAAATAACTCGGTGATGAGTTTGAGATGAAAGATCTTGGAGCATCGAAAAAGATCTTACGTATAGAGATTCATAGAGATAGGAAGGCCGCAAAATTATATCTTTCACGAAAAGGATATATTGAGAAAGTGCTTTAATGTGCGTAAGGTCAAACCCGTCGATACTTTATTGGTTGCTCACTTTATATTTTCGGTTTCTTAATCACCTTAAAATGAAGAAAATAAGAAGGAAATGTCACGAGTTTCATATTCTAGTACAAGTAGACAACATAATATATGCTATGATCTGCAGTTGTCCGGACAATGCCTAAACAGGTTAGTGTTGTGAACGGATATATGGCTTGCCCAAGAAAGATACATTGACAAGTAGTAAAGTAGATTCTCAAGTATCTCGAAGATATCACAAACTTAGGTTTAGTATTTAAAAGGAGCAAGTGCTTTTGAAACTTCTATTGCAGTGCTTTAACTTATTATTTAACATTCCTAAGATTTCTAACATTTTTGTATTATTTTTATTATTAAATTTTTAGAAAATTTTAATTAGGGATTTTCATCCATATTTTTTATGTGTATGTGTAAGAAACAATACCTTTGGAAGGAACTTAACGTTTTGTGTTAAGTGATTCTAAAGGAAGTTTTT